TGAATTTAGCTATGATACATGAGAATTATTAATTAGCTGTAGCGTGATGAAGTTGCAAGTTCAGGTTTGCACAGAGAAAATCTCTAACACAATGATCTTTGATACAGAATGGCAGTATTGGGCATTGTATTTGAGTGTAGAGCTAAGTTCTGTAGACAGTGATTGATTACTTGCCATTTCTCAGAATGGAATAAGTCTATTATTTAAATGTTAGATATTCTCTAATTTGTAGTTGATTTTAAACTGGTGAATCGTCTTTATTTATTATTAAAACTTCCTTCTTAGGGAGCTGGAGGCCACTGGAACTCCTAGAATACCTATTTTATGGTTTAAACAATCCTAGATGGCAGACATTGAAGTAGGATGAGATTAGATAGGATTTGTGCCTAGTTCTTAAAATGGTATTTTTTTAAGACATTGAACAACATGCAGTGAAAATAGCCAGCTAGAAAGATGTATGATAGAAGCGAAGTAAACTGTTATAAAATGGTGCTCCCATCTTCTCTATTTTATATACTGTTATTTTAAGTGAGGTTTAATATAGTATATGTCCATTGAACCAGAATTATGTGTTAAAAAATAGCATGATGTGAGCTCTGTAAAAAACTGGTCTTGAACCCAGTTCTGTGCATAAAGTATTCTGAATTTATATATGTCATGAAAACACTGCATTTTGCTTCAGCAGATGAATCTGAGGGATAACAACCTTTAATATACCAAATAGCAGTGATTGTATTTTGAAAAAGTAAGCAAACATTCTGTGTTAAGTGTTTTTAAAGTTGTAAGGCCAAGTACTAGAGTAGCTAGTAAACACAGCCATTAAATTAATCAGAATGCAGTACTATAAAGTGTGATTTCATTCAAATAACCATGTAAATAAGACTTAGAATATCAGTACAGCAGTACATGTACTGACTACTGTGTTACTCATTTTCCTTTCTAACCTCCAAATCATTCATTATCTGAGTTAGAAAATTCATCTCCCCAAGAGCAAGACTGGGTTTCTTTCTTTGTGTGATTCATAGGTTTTAGGCTGCAGTGCTGGGCCCAGCTCCCTGGTGCACTGTCTCCCTGCCACTTAGTGAGAAGTGCTTCATTATTTCAGCTTGGCATCTGTGTTTCTCTCAAGCTATAAGGGGAAAAAAGCAAAAGAATGCAAACCCAGAGTTATAAACCCAGAATTTACTATCTTTTTTTAGAGGCTTTCCTCTCCAGGTGTTGGCAGTGGTGGGCTTCTCTCTTCTGCTGATCTCAGTTTCTGTAGTAATTTCAGATAATTCTGTAATACTTCAGATTCAGTAATTCGAGTGTACAGACAGGGAGAAAGGCCATCACCACAAACTTGGGGAGGTTCAAGATGAGATAATAACATCACATAATTTCTTTTGTTATTCTAGAGAGATACAGCATTCTGATTTGCAAGGAACAGCTCATATTGTTGCAAGCATTTCTATAGCACCGTATATAAACATAGTAGTGACAGTGATCTTGTAAAATCCTTCCTGTTAGACAAATGACTGTTAGCCCTTACAGGCCAAAGAACTAAGAGGTATAGCAAAGTGACTTGTTATACACCAGACTGAGCAAACCAGTGAAAGCTCACAGGTTGCAATTTAAGGATGCCCTTTTCCCAGTTCCTTCCCTATTATATCAGTATGCATTGCTAGAAGGGCAGAATTTTGTACAGTTCCACAAAACATAAGGTATAGCTGTAAATGTTCAGTATGACAGAAAAAAATGGCTTCTATGTAAAACTGGACATCTTGAAAACAAGGACCATGGAGAGAGAGGCTCCCACTAAGATTTCTGTCTAGTACCTTGCCTGAGCCTGCTCAAAGATTCTGTAGGAGTTAGAGAAGACAGCAGGGTCCTTCTGGGTGGCATTCATCTGCCCTTTTCCAGGAGCCTCCCCTAGCCCTTCAGTGCTTTCTCCACACTTCCAAATTCCACAGCAGATAGTTTGTGCCTAATCTGCAGGTGTTCTGATACCATCCATTCTTACAGCAATGGAGTCCCTGGGAAGAGAAATAGTACATAGCTGTATAAAAATCTTTTTGCCACAATGCTTATAAATAATAAGGTCTGAACAAAGTAACCTAAATTATCTTAATCTTGCTGTTTTGAAATTTTAAGTTTGCAGTGTATATTTTTTCTGGGGTTTTTTTTTGGTGGAAAATTACCATGTTTGTTTCCTAAAGGAGAAGAGTAAAACTTAAACCCTATTATTTATAGATTTTCAGCAAAAATGTTTTCTTTATTTAACCCCAAAGGTGTTCCTTGGGACACAGAACTACTGTTTGGAGAAATTTCTACTCTTGCTGCTAAGTTCATGGGCTTAACAACAGCCCCAAACAGCAGTGTATGATAGGAATTGTTGGCAGCTTTAATATATAGATTGCTGATTTGGTTTTCCTTCTCTTTTTTTTTTCTCCCTGTGGTTTCTTTTTCTTGCAGGCCATCTGCATATATATTACCCTTTAAAACTGTGTGAGTCCTAAATGCCCATTGCTTCCAGACTGGATTCTTCTTTATGCCTGCACAAGCATTCTCATTTCCTCAAAAGATTTAAATGTTTAAGTCCCAGTATTTTTCTATATATGCTTCTGATTATAAGCAAGGAAGTATGTTTGAATAGCAAGATAGATGACAACGTAGCTTTTTGCACATTAAAACACACTTCTTCCAAACACAGCAGCTATTGTAAATGTCTCTCTAGGTCAGTATGCAATACTGGTACGTTTGCAGCTTCCTGTAAACAGAAAGTCTCCTTTAATAAAAAGGAATTTGTAGTGAACAGACACTTCAGCTGTGCATATTAAACCGTTCATTGAACTACGAAAGTGTAACATGCCACCAGTGTAGTGAAATGAAATTCTTGAAAAATTCTGATGTCAGGATATAATGTTTTCATGTAATTTTTATTCAGTATAAAGTGCTGAGAATGTTATCTAGCATGTTCTTTAATTTTGTTGATTCTCTAGCTAAACAAGTACTCTAGTTTTGCTAGGCTTACTGAAAAATTCTGCATTAAAGGGTTATATGAAATACACCAAGATACAGTCATAAATTAGTTAATAAAACTTTAATGCCTTAATTCCTGTAAACATGTTTTTTCATCAGTTGATTTGGTAGAGAAGCACTAAAGTGTAGAAATGCCACTCTGTTAAGCAGTGTGCATAGTACAGTTATTCAGAGTCACTGTGAAAGAGAAGACTAAAGCAGTCAGCACTATTTCTGGGTGTCGTGAAACAAAAAGTGGCTTTATCCCATTGGAGCTGATCCCAAAGCACACTGCGGATCTTATGACCAGAGAATTAAGGTTAAGAAGTCTGTTCTTGTCAGCTTTAACTTGGGTCAAGGGTATTGTTGGTTAATGTGCTTGGAGTTAAATATTAGCTCTTTATTTCCCTTAGGCAAACTGAAAATAGAGTTTAGATTTAAATTCTAAGCAGTGATTTTTCAGCATTTTTTTCTAGCATAATAGCTAAAACCTCTGCGTTTGTTTTGTTCTTTGGTTTTTGTTTTCTTTTAAGGTCGCTTGAGTTATCCACATCCAGGGACTGACAATCTTCTAATGTTAAATGGTAAGTGCTAATCTTATAACAGTTTCTAATTATCTCTAGCTTAGCTTAAATCTGACATGTTGGTATAAAATTTTACTATTATATTCTGTTACTGAATTACTTGCCTCCAGTCTTCAACACTGATGGGACTGTTGCCATTTTTCAGAGTTGAATGGCAAGAGCTAATCTTGCAACAGCCTTTCATTATATCTAGCTTATTGGAAATCTCAAATGCTCATAATGATGCACTATTCTTTGTTGTTCTCAAGCAAACCAGTGGTATGATCTCCAAAGAGCTGCTAGAAATCTATTGTACTGAAACAGGAATTAGAAAAACAAGAAGGCCAGAAATGCATGTTTTCTGTCTTGGGTAAATAGTGAACTAGATACTTTCTATTAGACTCATGTGGAAGAACATTATATTTTTGTTGGGGTTTTGGAAGTGTCTTTGTCAAGTGTGTGTCTAACTGTGAAATATGCTGAAGTTAGAGTTCATGTTCACGTTCCTCTCCCAGTAGGTCAAACTTCATGAACATCTGCTACTCAGTGAAGGCATGAACTTTAGCCTTTGTTCAAGGCTAAAGAAGGAAGCAGAGCTTGGTAATCCATCTAAGTCAATAATAAATCAGGGGGTTTGCACACAAATGTTTTCTACATTGGGAAAAATTAGAGCTATAATGCCACAGCTTCTCTAGATTAGAAAACATGGAAGCTGCTGTACACAAAGGAAGTACACTTTTGTCATTAACATGATGGGTCTAAACATTACCAGTAAAGACCTACTGAAAAATAGGGTCAGAATACTTATTTCAGGTTTGAGATTATGTGGAGGTTTTTGGGGGTTTTATAATTGCCTTACCTCCTTCTGCACATTCATGTACACTTGTGCAAATGGATATAGAATGTAAAAACGTATCTATTTTCTCTTGTGTAATTCTAAGGAATTTCAGGTTTAACTTTATACCCAGTAAAGAAAAATCCTGCACAAAGAGCATTTGAAGAAGTAGGTCCTTTGGTACTGAATTGTTAACTTTAAGATAATGGTGTGACTTGAAAAGTGAAAATATCTACTTAACTATTGAAATAGAATCAGTGTTTAGCCCACACAGGCCATAATCCTGATTACACTGAATATCAATGTGCTCAATGTTGCCACATTTACAACAGTTGACTCACTTTATTTAACTGCAGCTGTAAGAGGTATTCTGCAAACTGGTTTGTTCAGGTGGTACATGTGCAATTGTCATTATCTGCTGATTTATAATGAAGTGTTAGATGGGAAGGTATTAAGAGCTAAGCACTCTTATGAGAAACTGAAATATTTCAATGCAGTGGGCATAAGAAATGAATATAATTTTAATTCATTTTATTAATGCATCAAATGGTGAGCTTCTCTTTTTAGAGTTTTGCATGCTAAAAAAGCATGTGGGAAGCATTGTTACGCTGGGAAATATCCAGGGGAAAAAAGGGGGTTGCTATTACCATGGTTGCTGGAAAAGTGCATTTCAGTGGTACCAGTCTGTCCTGAAAACCTTACCACAGAGCTGGAATATGCACTGAAGAATGTCTTGCTGTTAACACTGCTGTGGTTTCTATTGTACTTTGGGAGGATGGTAGCACTTAGTGTGACTGCTCCCCTCTTTAAAAGCTACATTATTATTTTCAGCCTTCAGTAGGTGAGATAAAAATAACAGCTTAAGTATCTGAAAGGTGCTGCAACACCTAATTTTTGGGTGTGCCCGATAGAATTTAGTTCAGAGCCTTGGTTTAGACACCTAAGCTCTCTGCCATGTAACTGGAATTCACTTAGCTGTCGGTGCAGGCCAGTGCAATCACGTTTATTCTTCAGACCCCCTTCAAACTGGACTGTCTGAACTGCAGTTCCTTACAGCTCCAGAGGAGAAGAAGCACTGGGAACAGCTTCTGGAAAGCTCCCACTGCTCAGACTCTGCACAGCCTTTATTTTTTTCTTAGCAAGAATTCAGGGTCTCCCTCCAAATGTACAGTAATGACAATTAGAGCTTAGATGCTTGTGGATGAAGTTGTAGCATTCAGTTTCCTTCTCTGCTTAAGTGGATCCAAGCTAACATTTCCCTGTATCCATATAACTGATGTCTTGGAGGGAGAATAGGGGTAAGGAGATCTGATAATCCAGAGGCTCACATTTGTCCCTTACTTTCTGTCCCTTACATTTGTCCCTTTCGTAGCTGTGGTAGCTGCGATGAGCAGCAGGAGCACCAGACCTTCGTGAAAGCAAAGCACAAATATTTTTGTGGATCCTTGGCTTGATTTTAGTGGACTAATATCTCTAGGTCCGAGTAAGGTTCTGATATGAGCCAGGCTGATATTCCTCAGCCCTTTTGAGACCAAGCACTTATAGCTAAAACTTATTTTTTAGGCAGTTTTTCCTCTTCTTAAATGATAGATCTTTTCCAGCTCATTTAAAGTGTACTTACTGAACTGTACCTAATATTAATATTTGCAGTTTTCATTATTTAAATTAATGAAATGAACCAAAGGAAACCTGATTTATATGTTTTAATAAATTATATATATGATAATTATATATCTGGTTCAGCGTAAGCTGTAAAAAAAGCAATGCATTTTTAATGACTATTATCTCTCAGAAGTCAAAAAGAGATACTTTGGAATGGATTTGCCAGAGTACACATTTAATTGTCATCTTAGAAGCTTTCTGAAGCAATAATAATGCAGGAAACCATTTTGTTGGGGGTGTAGGGTGTTTTTCCCATTACAGGGCTCCCCCTCCCATATATAGTTTTAATGCATTGAATTGTTTTAATGGCTATTGAAACATAATTCACCATTTGATTTGTTTAGCAAAGGAGTATTAGACTTCCCATTGTAGAGATACTATAGCTGCTTGTGCTTCTAAAAAAAGCTGTTTTACTTCAAACAGAAATTACTTAAGCTTCCTATACAGGAGTTGCTAAATGAGTTTCTGTAGTCTTCTGGGCATGCCAGGCTTGAATGGTCATAATGATGTCTTTCAGCCTTAAAATCTATAAAGATGTTATTTCTAAAGAAAGCTAAATAAAATTTGGGCACCCAAATCCAATAGAATGGAATGGGAATTAGGCATCTACCTCCTTTAGTCTAGACTCTTGTGGAATTTTTGCTATAATTGTTTATGGATTTCTTTACATGACAAGTATTAATGAGAAAGGCTTCATTACATCCCTGTCACCATTTGATCATTAAGTCAGGAATGTTGCTGACAAATAGTATTTTATCTTTCTAGCATAAATTTCATAGTTATCTTCATAGTTATCTTTTTAACTACTTGCCTAGTAGTTTTTCCTGTTATACAAGGTAGTATTTTTAATTCAACTCAATCATTCAGTTGAGTTATTTAAATAGTATATATTTGATCTCTGGTATGTATCTGAGGTACATGTCTGAATAAAATATATATTTTCTAGTGATAGCATTGCTCACATAATGTACAAAGTTATATTGTCTTGACATTAGGTGTGCATACACAAAAATGTATTCACTTCTGTCTCATCCTCTCTCTGAGCTGATTTACATTGCAGAAAAGGGGGTTACTAATTTTTCTGACAGGTTTAAGGTGTATTAGTATGCAACTTCAGGGATGCAGAAACAAAGAGTTTAGCTAAAATGGAATGTCTTTGCTGTATATACAACACTCAGTATTGGAAGATTCCAATATTTCTGGATTTTGGTTTTATTGGGCATCATTGCATGTGTTGTCTGCTTTATATTTTCTAGGGAAAAAAGGTGTTAACTCTTGTGCTTTTTCTCTCATTTGAAATCGGTCAGAGTTACTGGCTAACTAAGATATCTAGTTTTATAGACCAAGAGATAAATAGAAAAAATTCTTTATGACTTAATCTTTGAACCAGAAGAAGTTTGATCTCTCCTTTTTTGTTGTTGTTGTAAATGAATTATTTGCCTACAGTGTCTGGCCTTTTGCAAAAAGGCTGCCTTCCTTGCAATTATTTATCTGAATAGATACACTAATTATGTCTATGTTAAATATATATAAACTATATGTGTAGCTAAACCTGTAATTAAATTTCTATAATGTGCATATTTATACTGACCCCACGCTCTGAGCGTGCATGTTCTGTAAGGTGTAAAACATTATGTGCATGTCGTTTTAATAAATATAGAAATACTGCATTTTTCTAGACCCAAAGTGGCAGAAAATCTCTGCCCAGCCTAGTTTTCAATCTAAATGGGCAAGACAGATAAATTTCAGGGAAGAAGGTTTGCCATACAAACAAAGTAAATGATGATGTGACAATATCAAGTACAGGTTTTTTTTCCTGGTTTCTGATTTCATGGTTTTGTTGAAGCAAAAAATACACAGATAATTTTGGTACACCATTGTTAATTTATTTAGATATACACATATATATAAAATACTGCAGCAGCTACCCTTTTGCATTGAATTGCATTGGGGATTTTTTTTAACATTTTAATAGCCCTTTTGTGTTTCTCCTTGAAACTACTGTTTCCTATATTTGAATGCACAAAGGAAAACACTTCAGGTGCTCTGTAACAAAATACTTTACTGCATATCAGCTTGTCAGCTATGAAGATGTAAGACAATAGCTTAGTTGGCTTGGTGGGCAGAAGAGAAGAAAAACAGTGTACTGAGGCTTGTGCCAAAAGATGCTTCTTGATACGTATTTGTATGTTGTCCTTTGAGAGAGAACATGGCACTGCAGACACTGCTGTGGGTGTGATGCACTTGAATTTTCCTTTGTTACTCTAGTTTTATTTGTGGATGGAATAAATAAAAAAAACCCCATATGGGGTTTAGGCAAGGGCTTAGCTCCTTCTAATACTACGTGGGAGTCACTTTGGCCAGGAGTCAGAAAAGATTTGTACATGCTGCAACACTGGCATGGAACTCGGTGTCTTGTGAGTGTCTGGCTTCAGAGGGAAAACAGGTTTGGAGTTCAGTGTTAGTCTCCCCTTGCAAGAGCACCAAGAGAACTGATCACACAGAATACTATGTTTGGTGGATTCTGTTTTGATGTCAGAAATACGAACGTAGGTGATTCTGCTTGATTATATACCTGGGTATTTAACCCAGTCTCTTCTGGGATTTAGTCTCTCTTGGAAAATGTTTTCTTCTGTTTTGGCTGATGAGTAGAAAGTTGGAGGATCTGCAAACACTAAGCAAAAGACTGTTTTCAGCAATAATAATTATTTCAGATGGAAGAGAATAAATCTGAAAGTGAATTCAGTGCAAGCTGGATAGAAAGATGACAACTTTTTCTGTATAAAATAGCAATTCTAGGGGAGAAAAAACAGATTTTCAAAATTCCATAAGAGATCCACTGAATTTCTAGTAGGAGGGGATCAAGATAACAAAGGAAAAGTAATATACTTACTAAAATTTTTTAAAACCCCTATTCAAATAGGAGGTGCCAGGATACAAGTATTTCATAACACAAGAACAGAACAGTGAATGACATTTATGAATCACTGATTTTTATGAGGCTGTGTGTGTTTCAGTGGCCCAGAACAGCAGTTGCTTTGCAGGAGAGATGTATGGATGGATGCCTAGTAAAATAAAAACAACAATGCCAAGACACAGAAGTCTGTTCATAATTTTGCTGTAACATTATGGTTTATAGTAACATGTTCTATTTGGATGCTTAACTATGATGCGTAGTGATTAAAGTAATTTTTCTCAGATACAAAGTCTGTGAAACAGGAATAGAAAATACTTGGTGGAAACACAACTAAGAAATTACACACAGCTTAATAGTTTCTGTATTAGTAGTCTGTCTGTTTATAGTTTCCTGGCCTTCAGGCAGAGAAGCGATCAGTATGGTCTTTGAACTGGAGCTGTAAGCGTGGTCTCTTTAAGGATCTTGCAAAACTCAAAAGTTAGGAAAATCTTGGGTTTACTTGCAGTCTGTCAGAAATTGTTGCTTTGCCTTTGTGCAGTGTTTTTGATACAATGCTATTTCTTGTGACTTGTGCCCTGATTTCGTTTGCTACCACAAGGCGTCTTTTGTTTCAAACAAAACCTTGCGGTTAATTTTCTGCTAGGTCTTTTCATGAAAAAGGAAGGTCACGGCTTACAGCATTTGCATTGTCACTGCAGAGGACTGTACAAACTGTTCCATGGACCAGGATGTTTCTGTGATTAATTTAACACTCGCTACATGCTTTTTAAAGTAATATTTTCCTTTCTCTACTTTCAGCACCCTGTGAGTGTTATTTAGGCACTTGTGTAAGATAGAAATCACATTTGTGAGGATGAATTGCAAAGTTACCGTAATTTATTCATCCATAATTAACATGAAGTTAAGATCAAGTCTAAAGACGAGTTGAAATACTTGAAAGAATGTTCTTTACAGCTGGTACTAATGTCAATTTAGTAGTAAAATAATATGATATTTAAGTGAGACTTCAGTTTAATGCATTCTCATCTACAATTATCAGTACCAAGTACCGATGCAGTTTTTTTACTTAGCTCTTACCCACATAGTTCTCTGTATCTTAAATAATTTAGTATGTGGGCATGATGCAGTTACTTGACATTTTACAATTTGTCCTTTGTTTGCATGCAGCAAGGAGTTATGGGCGAAGACGAGGTAATTCACTTCTGTTTGTTACAGTACAATTAATTCTGATCTGTTACTGATCATTATGATTAATTAATCCAGATTGTTGATTATAAATGCTTATCTGCATGTTGTCTTAGTTTGGGGAAGATGGAGGGTGTGAGGGAAGAAGGGGTGCAGTCTGGATTGGTATGATCATTGATCTCTTAGTTTGAATTACAAATCCTTTAATCAGTTAAAAACTGTAGTTCTAATCATAATTTAGTTAATGCTAATGGCTACTGCTTGCAGTCATTGTGCTCTTTATAAATATACAGTTTGCTAGTTGTCCTAACTCATCTTCTTTTGCTTCTGTAGAAGCAGTAGTGTACACAGTAAAATCTAAGAGCTTTTCATAAACTTAGCAAGAAATCTTGTAGACAGCTCTTAGAAATAGTGAACAGATCTTTATAGTATAAGCCAGTACATGCTCACTGACCTCGGAAAAACTGTACTGTTTTAACTGTACTCAGATGTGACCTGTGGTTATAAACCCCTTGTAAAGCATGCAGAAAAAACCCACCAAGATCTTTAGTAACTTCCAGTATTCACCACATACACATGAGTTTGTGTGTCTCTCTTGATCTCCACATTGGTTCGTAGCTGATTGCATGGTAGTCATCATGTAGAGAGAAATTATGTTGTAGACCTGATGTTTGCAGCCCAGAAAGCCAAAGAGCGTGGCCAGCAGGTCAAGGGAGGTTGTTCTGCCCCTCTACTCTTCACTCCCCTACATTGTGTCCTCAGCACAGAAAAGACAGGGGCTTGCTGGAGTGAGTCCAGAGAAGAGCCACCAAGATGATGAGAGGAAAGGCTGAGAGAATTGGGTTTGTTCAGACTGGAAAAGAGAAGGCATAGGGGTGACTTTACTGCAGCTTTTCACTACCTGAAGGGAGCCTACAAGAAAGGTGGAGAAGGACTTTTTACAAGAACATGTAATGACAGGATAAGGGGGAATGACTTCAGACTAAAAGAGAGTAGGTTTAGATTAGATATTAGAAGGAATAATATTTTTTTGCGGTGAGTGTGGTGAGGAGCTGGAACAGGTTGCCCAGAGAAGTTGTGGATGCCCCATCCCTTGGAGGTGTTCAAGGCCAGGCTGGATGCAGCTCTGAGCAGCTTGGTGTAGTGAAAGGTGTTCCTGCACACAGCAGGGGGGTTGGTCCTAGATGACCTTTAACATCTCTTCCAACCCAAACCATTTTATGCTTCTATTACATGGTTCTATGGTCATGGTCAATGGATGTAACAGTACAATCATTTTGACAATTCCTGGCAGATTCTGCTTATTTTTTCAGTCACAAAACAAGAAGGAATAAGTGTGTAGAAGGGCTTATCCTTTTAATTCACAGTCACCAGGAAAAATGGGAAAACCTATTGAAATGTGAAAGCAAAAAGCTCTGTTTGAGAGACATTTAAAAGTGATGAGGGTGGGGAAGGAAGTATTAGGAGTCATATAGACCATGTTACTCTAAAAGTGTTGATCCATTGTTCTCCATGTCATCTTAGCTCTCTGAATAGCTACAGTGCTTTTGGCAAACCTTTACCAACGTTAAAGTAAAACTGAGCTCTCTGGTAACGCTTCAGAACGTGTTCTGATCATCTGATTTGTACAAAACCCAATTGTCACTGTTCATAGATTTAAACATTGGTCTGTGGGTAAAAAATAAATTATTCTGAGGATTATTCTTTGACTCTTCCCTCCTGTACACTTGTCTATATTCTAAGTTGGAGTTGTCTAAGAAGGACTTTTGCAGGAACACAAAAACCATGATTTTCTGAGTCCAAAGAGACACCTTCCTTGAGTATAAATTGTGTGGTTTAAGAAAAAAAAGAAAAAAACACCCTCTTATTTGTGACAATATTCTGATGCCAACGAATTTATTGAAATTGTTTCTTTTTCCTGCAGTATAGAAACTTGCAGAGGTAAAGAGCAAAACTTTGTGCTTCTTAGAAACCAAGCTAAATTACAGTCATTTTAGATTTAAAATGTTAAGAATAACTCTCATATTAGTGCAAAGTCTTAAAAATTCTACTTTTTAGTTTTTCTGTAAGTTCCTCCAATTTGAGTCTTATTTCATTATCCACTTTTTTCTGTCACTGTCGCTATGATAACAGCTCCATCTTCTCCATTATTCACGTTAGTAATTCAGAAACTTGTATCTCCCTTTCTTGGTTGTGTAACCAAATCTGTTCGTATACATCTTTAAGATCTGATCATTCTTACTAGTCTTCATAACTGAAATTTGTACCCACATCACTCTGCTATCACAGTCTTCATACATGATCTTGCTGCTCTTTAGACTAAATAGATGATTTACAAGAAGAACCTGCCTGGCTGCTTCTTCCAACTGCATTAGCTGTCTGTTTCTCCCTTGCTTCCTCACTTTTCTGCCCCATTGAGCACCAGCTACACGATTCTGCTTTCAAAGGCACTCTGCTCATCTGGTACTGAGCTGGTGAATGCATCCTTCTGATAGCAAGCAAGGATGCCATCACTTGCTGCCCACTAGTCATTCTCAAACTTGCCTATCCCCATTTTTAATGGAAAGGAGGAGCCTGGCATGGCTTTGTGTTTGCTGTACTCACTCCATC